GGCTGAACCCAGACAAGGTGCTATCACTGGAAAGAATTCTAAAAGCAGACCCTCTCTTTCCCCCCAGTGTGTTCAGGGGTACTGGAAGCCTCTGCCCACGCAAGGGAGCTACTTTGTAAAATAACAAAGGCATATTTCCAGTTAAGATTTACAGACCTTTCCAAGCATTTTGCAAGAGACTCATGATGAACCTCTGACCTATCTCAAAAGTCTTGGGAAGAGAGGCACTTGTTGGCCATCAGTCTTGGATATTACCTTGAGGTGAAAGGATTTCAGAGGTAAGTTAAAGCTACTTACCAGTGTAAAGCCTGTCTACCAGATCCTGACCTAAAACTCGAGGCAAACTGAATAGCTGTATTTTCTTTAAGGCACAGAATTACTCCTGTTTCTTGAGTTTTTACTACAGTGGTAAGGTCTCTCCATATACCATGTTATCTAATAACCCCAATAATCCTACAAGGTATTGTTGGTCTTCAAAAAAAAAAACCCTGAGGCTTGACAGAGTAACATGCCCACACCAAGAGCTGTAATCTACCCACTGATCCCATTCCAAACCACCTCCCTGCTCTCCTGTCTCCCCTCCCAACCAGGCACCAGAGGTGTGGTCTCCCACAAGCCCACACGGCTGGGGATCCCTTTACATACACAGAGGAGGGAGCCACAGCTCTTCTCCTGGCTCTTGGACCCTTCCTGGGTCAGCAAAACCTACCTGCTTCTAACAACTACCCAGAAATTTAAGGAGAGGTTTCCTAATCCAGGGAAGCACCCGAACCTGCTTTCCCCTCTGATTTACTACCTCCTCGTTACTGACATGTACATGAGTGGGCACAAGGGCTCACCAAGGGAGTGGATCCCAGGGCTCCACTCCTGCATCCTCATCTAGTTTAATCAGCACTATAACCTTAGACTTTCTCCCCCAACCCCTGGTTTTAGAAGAGAAAACTGTAGACGCAGAAAGAGCAGTGAATGCAGCTAAGGGTTTGTCAATTTTCTCTGTTCAAAGAGGCAGCTCTTAATTTCATTGATCCTTTCTCTTGTCTTTTTAGTTTCTCTAATTCATTTATTTCTGCTCTGATCTTTATTATTCCCTTCCTTACTTGGGGCTTTGTTTTTACTTTTTCTAGGTCCTTTAGGTATAAAGTTACAGTTACATTGTTTGAGATTTTTCTTCTTCCTTGAAGTAGGCCTGTATTGCTATGAACTTTGCTCTAAGAACTGCTTTTGCTGCATCCCATAGATATCAGTAGGTCATATTTCTGTTTTAATTTGTCTCTAGGTATTTTTTAATTTCTCCTTTGATTTTCTTCAGTGACCCACTGGTTGATCAGCATGTTGTTTAATCTCATTTTTCTGGTTTTCTGGTTTTCCTCTTGTAATTAATTTCTAGTTTCATACTAAAGTGATCGGAAAAAATGCTTGGTATGATTTCAACCTTCTTGAAGTTACTGAAACTTCTTTTGTGACCCCACGTGATTTATCCTACAGAATGTTCCATGTACACTTGAGAAGAATGTGTATTCTGCTGCTTTTAGAGGGAGTGCTCTGTCTATATCCATTAAGTCCACCTGGTCTACTGTGTCATTTAAGGCTGATGTTTCCTTATTGATTTTTCATCCACTGATGAAAGTGGGCTATTAAAATCTCCTACTACAAAAAAAAAACCTTTTTTTTAATAAAATAAATAAAATCTCCTACTACTATTGTATTGCTTTCAATTTCTCCCTTTAGGTCTGTGAATATTTGTGTTATAGATTTTGATGCTCCAATGTTGGGTGCATATTATCTTTAAAAATGTATCTTCTTGCTGGATAGACCTCTTTATCATTATGTAATGAATGCCCTTCTTTGTCTTGTATTACAGTCTTTGTTTTAGGGTCTACTTTGTCTGATATGAGTATAGTTACTTCAGTATTCTTTCCATTTCCATTTGTATGGAATATTTTTTTTCCATCTCTTCACTTTCAGTCTTTGACTAGGAAAAAAGAGAGGGCTCAAAATCAGAAATGAAAGAGAAGTTATAACTAATTCCACAGAAATACAAAGGATCATAAGAGACTACTATGAAAAATTACAAACCAACAAACTGGACAACCTAGAAGAAATGGATAAATTCCTAGAAACACACAATCTTGCAAGACTGAATGATGAAGAAATAGGAAATGTGAATAGACCGATTACTAGTAAGGAGATTGAAACAGTAATCAAAAATCTCCCAACAAACAAAAGTTCAGGGACCAACCAGATGGATTCACTGGCAAATTCCACCAAACATTAAAAGAAGATTTAATACCTACACTCAAAGTCTTCCAAAAAATCGAAGAGGAGGAAAAACTTTCAAACATTTTATGAGGCCAGCATTACCCTTGCACTAAAACCAGACCAGGGTGCTATTAAAAAAAAAAATTAGTCCAATATCCTTGATGAACACAGATGCAAAAATCCTCAATAAAATATTAGCACACCGAATCCAATAATACATTAAAAGGATCATACACCATGATCAAGCGGGATTTACTTATGGATTCAAGGATGGTTCAACATCTGTAGATCAATCAATGTGATATATCACATCAACAAGATGACAGATAAAAATCATATGATCATCTAGATAAATGCAGAAAAAGCAGCTGACAAAATTCAACATCCACTTATGATGGATATACCCTCTCTCAACAAAATGGATATAGAAGGAACATACCTCAATGTAATAAAGGCCATCATGACAATCCTACAGCTAATATCATAATCAGTGGGGAAAAGCTGAAAGTTCTTCATCTAAGAACAGGATGCCTATTCTTGTCACTTTCGTTCAACATAGTACTGGAAGTCCTAGCCATGGCAATTAGGCAAAATAAATAAAAGGCATCCAAATCAGAAAGGAAAAAGTAAAACAGTCACTATTTGCAGATGACATGATACATGAATTCAGTAAAATCGCAGGATACAAAATCAGTAAACAGAAATCTGTGGCGTTTCTACACACTAACAATGAAACAACATAAAGAGAAATTAAGAAAACAATTCCATTTACAATTACATCAAAAAGAATAAAATATCTAGGAACAAATTTAACCAAGGAGGTGAAAACCATAAGACACTGATGAAATAAATTGAAGAAGACACAAAGAAATGGAAAGATAATCTGTGCTCTTGAATTGGAAGAATATTGTTAAAATGTCCATACCACCTAAAGCAATCTACAGATTCAGTGAAATACCTATCAAAATTCCAATGGCACACTTCACAGAACAGGAACAAATATTCGGGGTTTTTTTTGTTTTTTTTTTTTAAGATTTTACTTATTTATTTGAGAGAGAGAATGAGAGAGAGCAAGAGAGCAAGAGAGCACATGAGAGTGGGGAGGGTCAGAGGGAGAAGCAGGCTCCTTGCTGAGCAGGGAGCCCGATGCGGGACTCGATCCCTGGACTCCAGGATCAAGACCTGAGCCGAAGGCAGTCGCTTAACCAACTAAGCCACCCAGGTGCCCGTGGGCAGAAAACTGAACAGACATTTCCTCAAAGACATACAGACATCACACAAGACATACAATAGCTACATGAAAAGATGCTCAAGATCACTATTAGGGAAATGCAAATCAAAATCATGAGGGATCACCTTGAACCTGTTACAGTGAATATTATCAAAGAGACAAGAAATGACAAGTGTTGGTGAGGGTATGGAGAAAGGAAAACACTTGTACACCGATGGTGGCATTGTAAATTGGTACAACCATTGTGGAAAACACTCTGTGATTCCTCAAAAAATTGAGAACAGAAATACCGTATGAACCAGCTATTCTACCTCTGAATAGTTACACAAAGAAAATGAAAACACTAATTCGAAAAGACATATGCACCCTACATTCACAACAGCCTTATTCACGATAATCAAGGTATGTAAACAACCTAAATGTCCAATGACAGGTGAATGAATAAAGATGTGATATATTTATACAGTGGAGTATTACTCAGCTATAAAAAAGAATGAGATCTTGCTATTTGTGACAACACAGATGGACTTTTGAGGGGATTATGCTAATAAGTAAAATAAGTCAGATGAAGAAAGACAAATACGGGTGATTTCACTGATATATGGAATCTAACAAACCAAACCAAACTGACAGATACAGATAACAGACTAGTAGTTACCAGAGGGGAAGGAGGTTGGGGATTGGGCAAAATGGGTCAACTGTATAGTGATGAATAGTAAGTAGGCTTGTGCTTATCATTTTGTAGTGTATACAGGTGTTTAAATTATAAAGCTGTGCACCTGAAACTTACGTAATAACAATAATAAATAGCAGTGAAGCATTCATGCCCTAGGCTACTGAACCACAGAAAAGCTGGCCCAGGGAGTCAGGCCACTGAGTTCCAGGCCCCACTCTGTAGCTAACTAATATTGTGACAAGGGGAAACTCAGTGATCCCCTGCTGGGTCTCAGTTTCTAAAGATGTAAAAGAGAGTTAACAACAAGTAACTTGCACTCTCGAGAAGACCAAGCTGACTGACTTAGGACGGTTTCAATTTGGCGCTTGGCAATTTGTTTCCTTTCTTCACCTCCCCTCCCACCTCCACCTTCGGGAGAAGGGGAAATAAAGTGGCAGGATATTCTAAACAAATTCGTAAAGAGTTCGTGCGCATGTGGCCGGATTTTTTTTTTTTAAAGGCAGGTTAAATAAATAAGATCCCGCCCCCTCTCTACCCACTTTCGTCCTTCCCTCTGATTCCACATCCTAAACCCAGAAATTAGGTGACCACAGCTGAAACGTGCTCAAAAGAGGTCAAGCGAGCTGTTTCCAGTTGCCACCTCTTCCAGACCACAGAGAAGAATGCGTGGCCAGGGAAAGAAACCGGAGCGGGCGGGGGACGCCCGGGGCTCCAACGCTGAACCAACTTCCCCAGGGCCGGCTGGACGCGCGCCGGCCCGGGGAACCGGGCGCCCTCACCGCCTCGCCTCGTCCCCCCACCCAGAGCCCTCCCGGGTCGCGGACGTCCGCTTACCTGCGCGGCACAGAGCAGCAGCAGGAGGAAGCCGAGGGCTGGGCCGCGCGCGGTCATGCTGCCGCGGTGCCGGGCTGCGCACAACGGTAGAACTCGGCTCGGCTCGGCTCGGCTCGGCTCGCCCCGGCTCGGCGCGCTGGGCGGGCTCAGGATCCCGTGCCAGCCGAGGGAGGGCGCGGACGCCGGCGGCGGGCGGTGAGCGCAGGTCAGGAAAGAGGAAGGCGTTGTCGACTCCTCCCCTTTCTGGGCGGTGCCGCGGCCGGGTCGCCCGAGACCCGTTCTGGGGCGGGGCCGACCCTGGGAGGGCGGGGCCGGGGCGGGCCCCAGCCGGGGCGGGGGCGGGGCCTGACTGGGCAGCGCGGCTTTGGCTGGGCTTTCTCTGCGGTTCTCAGCTCTACCTCCTGCGGTCCTGCGGCCGTGGGGGTGCGGCATAGGGTAGGGATCCCAGACTGGGGCAGCCGAACTTCTGGAACCCGGCTGGGGAGGATATTTCTGGAGTTATGCCGAAAGTGTGTGGTTTTGATGTTTTAACTCTTTTCCCCCTTTTTGTCTTTCCTGAGCTGGGGACGATGGGCGAGAAGGTTTTAGTAAATGGGAGCGCTTGGAGACTGTTTTCCCAATTCCGATCCCACTCCTCAGCGGAATAGGTATTTCGGCCCCGATTAGCACTCCGAGCAAATTCTCCGCCCCAGACTCAGCCACCAAAAAGGAATCGGTGCCCGGGCTTCAGCGACGCCCGGGGCGGTGCCGCGCGGTGGCCTGACCGCGTTGTGATCCGGGAGCGCGAGGGGCGGAGCGCGGTGGTGGGCGATGCTCTCGAGCCAGCCAATCTCCGCTTGGTGGCCTCTCGGCCCACGTTTGGGAAAGCTCTAGAACACCACCCGCTGGTGGAGCTGCGCGTAGCGTGACTTTGGACCGGTCCGCGGGAGAAGACCCCCCTCCCCCCAACCCAACCTCCCTCCCTCGCAAGGTTGACCCAGAGGTGGGGCCAGAGTCCATTTTTAATTTCTAGGTGAAGTCAGGTAAGATAAAGAAGCGTTTTCATTTTTGAGCCTTGCACATACTATCGTTTTTGCTCTTGCACTTATTTTTATTATATGCATTTCTAGTAACATTTTCCCTCAGATTTCATTTATTGAGACCGCTCAAAAGCATCAGTCATTATTTTGAAGTTAAGGAAATGTAAGTAAGGATCTCTTTTCCCAACGTGGAAGCCAATTTACAATGAAAAGACTAAACATACGTCTGTAGCAATGATTAAATCCAGTCCTAGGTAGGACCATGACGCAGGTGATATTCCCAGCGTCGCTTACAAAGCGTCTGCTTTGGTTACTGTCTTGCCTCCCCACCTCCTCAGCCCTGGGATGTCCACCAGGCCGGCTGGGCGTTGAAACTATAGGGATTTCCTCTAGACCTTCAGTCCTAGATCTTACGTGAAGGCTTCCTGGCCCTCTTGCAACTGTGCGTTCTCCCGCCCTGGTGATTCATTTGAGATCAAGTAGTGTGCCTTAGTTCCGCAGGGACTCAAACTGTTGTCACTGAACCAGCAGTATCGGCAATCACCTGGGAACTTGTTTGAACTGCAAATTGAATGTTCCACCCTAGACCCACTGAATCAGAAACTCAGGATGAGCCAGCTCTTTGAGTTTTAATAAGCCCTGCAGGTGGTTCCAATGCACACTCAAATTCTAAACTGTTCTAATGGATTCCTGGGATCGTGGTGGATTAGTTACCCTTCCAATTTAGCAAAGTCCTAATGGAAAAAAGGAAAAAAAAGCCTTCACTAAATAATTAACTTGAGTAAAGGAAATATGAGAAATGTCTGGGATGGGCAGAAATTTTGATGCCCCACACATTATTATGTTCACTATTCACCAAAAGGATAACAAAAAGACCTTTAGCTATTTTTTTCTAGTTCTTTTGTACGACTTCAATAATACCCAAATGCCTAGGAAATATTTTTAAAATAAACTATCATATTTCTAAGAGAAATGTGTATTGTTTTTTTTCTCTGATGAAGTAATTCATACTTATAGTAGAAACTTTGAAAATACACCAAAGTTTAGGGACAGAATAAAAAACCTTTTATAATTCCATCCTGGGTAATCAGTCACACTGTGGTATATTTTTTCTTTCTATAAAAATGGTTTTAACATGGTTGAGATCCTAGGAGAGACTTTTTGTTAGTTTAGGTAATATTTAATACCACTATCGTTATAAACACCATTGAACATTGACTGCATAATAATAAAGGAGAAAATAAGAGGGAAAATGAAATTATTAAACACACATCTTTATAAATATGCAGAAACATCCTTGGAAGACTCTGCATTTGAAAGCATATATGTGAATATAATATATGGACTTCTAAAATAAGCAGGACATACTGAGCACAGTTTGAAGCTTGCTTTTTTTTTTTTTTTTTTTTACATTAAGCCATATGTTTTTTTCCACCTCACTACTTCTGCTAGCTCTATGGGATTTCATTCTGTATATATAACAGTCCTGAAGCTGGAGTGATGGAGGCCAGTGTCATGGCAGTACCTAAGTCAGTAAAATATAGTTCACCATCCGGTAATACTTCCAAAATACTCAAGTCTCAAATTGCATTTCTTGTATATATGAAGGGTTTGTATGGTTCCAGTAATACTGCAAAAATTCACCTTTTTTCTTCCATATGCTTCCTCACATTCCTGAGCTTGTCTGGATTCCACAAAGCTTTGCATCTTTCTGTGTCCTCTGCTTTCCTCATGATATCATATCACAAAAGTCTAAAAGCTATTGAACATTTACTGTAGGGAGGGAGATGGGAAAGTTGACCCGAAACAAAATTCTCTTTGCCTTGCAGATAGAAGGGGAAGTCTAGAAATACTCATGTTAATAGTTTTGATCCATTACCTAATCAATATCCTTTTGGACATTTGGTTTGTCACTTTGGTTACTGGAAACAATAATGCAATGAACATCCTTGTGCCTAAATCCTTGCGATTGTGTACAAGTAGAACTGTTGGAAAAAATTATCATTGGCTCAAAGGAAATGTTCGTTTTAATTTTCATTCTGGCTAAATTGCCCTCCAAAGAGATTGCAGTTTACTCCTTTGCTAACAACATGTGGAAGTGCCTGATTCCCACCTCCTTGGCAACACTTTTCTTTGCCATTCTGATAGGTGAAAAATGGCATCTGTGATTTTACTTATTTTATTTCTCTTTTTTAAAAAAAGATTTTATTTGAGACAAAGAAATGGAGAGAGGGAGAGAGAGAGAGAGAGAGAGAGAGAGCACGCGCACGCGCAGGACCTGGGGGGAGGGGCAGAGGGAGAAGCAGACACCCTGCTGAGCAGGGGGCCGGATGTGGGGCTCAGTCCCAGGACCCTGGGATCATGACCTGAGCCAAAGGCAGATGTTTAACTGATGAGCCACCCAGGCGCCCCTACTTATTTTATTTCTTATTTTTTTTAAATGGTGATGCTTTAATTTGTATTTTATTAATTATAAGAGAGATTAATTATAAGTGAGATTAAGCATCTTCGTACATTTATAAATGATTTATTTCTTTTTCTGTGTTTTTTATTTTCTATTATTTTCTTTTACATATTGATTTGTAAAAGTTCTCTAAGAAAATTAACCCGTTTGTCTAGCATATATGTTGCAGATACTTTTACTAATTTACAATAGTTTGTAGGGTAATAAAAAAATATCCCATATTTTCCTCTAGAGTTTCAATGATTCCATGGAAATCATGATCTGGAATTATTTTGCTGCAAGGAGTGATGTAAGGGTCCAGCTCCCCTCCTCCTTACAAAGCCTGGATAATCACAGGGATACCTGCTCTCAAAGTTATCATTGGTTCTTGTGTTGCCCAATCTAATGACAACCCCTTTCCTGTCATCTCACTTGACCTCTTAGTGTATTCAACCCAGATGATCACACTGTCCTCCATAAAACAGGTTCTTTAACCCTCTCATGGGTTACCTCATTGACTAAACATTGACTGTACCTCATCTTCTAGACTCGGGATGCGCGTTGAGCAATATATTCATGTTAATAAAATTTTATTACAACAAAATGCCTTTGAATCCTTCCAATACAGAAGCTTTTTTTTCCCCTGCTGACTTGGAAACTTCAAAACAGGCCGTGATACAAGTGGGCAAAGAAAAAAGAATGCCTAACTTCGGCACAGGTTGCAAACTTGCCTGGTTTCTAATTTGAAGGCTGAAATTCAATAACAGGAAATGAAGACAGAGCTGGGCCTTTGGGGTACTAGGAGGCAACTGACTTCACCCCGTGATATCTGAGTCCGTGCTGATGGACCCAGCCCTTCTTTGCTTACTTTTTTCACTTTTTCCCTTTGTAGTAGCTCAGGCTGCCAGAGCAAAATACCATAGACTGGGTTGCTTAAACACTTATGGATCTGGGGTGCACGATTCAGCCCATAGCACCCCACCTTTTGCTCAGGGTTGCATTATGACTTTTGGGGCCCTAGGCACCTTTGCTTTTGGGTGCCCCTTCCTCCTTCCAAAACAACCACTTAAAAGTACATTTTAAAACTGCATGGGTATAAAAATGAATATAATACAGGCTGCCTTCATTATTGCATATTCATTATTATTACATCTTATTTTTCTTCTGATTTTAAAATAGAAACTAAAACATTTTTGTGTGAATTTAGCAGTATCGGGGGCCCGAGGCACTGTTTCCTGTGCCTGATGGAGAAGCTGGCCCGTTGCTAACATCATAGAACTTCCTGCAGCATTCACAGGCATTGTAAGTTTTGCTGATGGACTGCCTAAAAAAAAAAAAAAGAGGTCCAGGGCCAGCAAGCGCTGGCCCTAAAAGAAGCCCCTGTAGATAGTAGGAGGTTACCTAGCTGAACACAGATAATAGGAGCAGGTAACCCCCTCACAACACTCTTCTTCTGTCGGACTATGCTTTGCCATTGTCCCCTGATCACACAGACGAGTCCTGATCCAGGGCAGGAGGAGAAGTGCATAAGCACAAGAACACCAGAGGAGGAGAGCATAGGAGGCCTTCTTGGAGGCTAGTTGCCACAGATCCATGTCGCCACTATGCAGAGGAATGCTATAGAACATTTTTAGCACTGCAAAGGCTTCTTTAGGCCTTTTCCCAGTCAACATCTTCACCCCCCTCCAACCAAGAGGTAGCCACAATTCTGATTTCTCTCACTATAAATTGGTT